AGCCACCGGCTCCTATCTTGAAGTTATTTAGTGGCTACCCACCGCCCCCCCAAAAGTTAACTCATTAGCATACAAAAGATACTGTTATTGCTCAGGAGATTCCAAGGTTGTTAGGAGCTCTGTACCAGGAACAGGGATGACTAAGTCCAAATGTTCATATTTTATTATCCCACAGGGCCCATTTCAAAGATGTACACACAGGGAGCTCACTTCCCATGGGACTGTGGTGAATATACTGGTCTGGGTATTTTCCTCCCATCCTGCTATCACTCTGCTTACTTCTCTAATACTACTCTATTACTTCTCACATTTTTTTTTAATGATTATTTATTTATTTACTTGATGGAGAGAGAAGGAGAGAGAGAGAGAGCAAAAGAGAGAATAGCAGGGGGAGCAGCAGGCTCCCCACTGAGCAGGGAGCCGGATGCAGGGCTCAATCCCAGGACTCCGGGATCATGACCTGAGCCGACGTCAGACGCTTAACTGACTGAGCCACCCAGGCGCCACTTACTTCTCACACTTTTGAGGCAAAGCCATTTGGAGATGTTGCTAATATGGTCCCTGCCATCCTGTCAAAATGGATCACCTCCTAGGACACACATTCTTGATCCACCTTCTGTGGAGACCCAGTATGGTGGAAGTTAGCCTGGGGTGGGGCATGCCCCAGAACAAATAAAAGCAGGTAGTACATAAAGTTACTTCCAAACTTGGGTACCATCATGTTTGGGTTTCTTTTGCTTCCAGTCAAAAACAGTGGCTGTGTTGGGGGTAGACAGGAAACTGAGAGGTTGTCTTGTTAATAACTCAAGTGGAGCCCTATGAAATTCACCTGAGGAGCTACAAAATATTAAAGATTCCCAGGCTCCACCCCAAGACTTATAAACTCAGATTGTTGAAGTGTGGGAGAACAAGAATTCATATTCTATAAGCTCCACATATAATTTTTTTAAAGATTTTATTTATTTATCTTATTTTAGCAAGCAAGTGAGAAAGAGAGTGAGTAGACGAGGAGGCTCAGAGGGAGAGGGAGAGAGAGAATCTCAAACAGGCTCCACGATGAGCGCAGAGCCCAAAGTGGGGCTCGATCCCATGACTCTGAGATCATGACCCGAGCTGAAACTAAGAGTCGGACGCTCAACCGACTGAGCCAACCACATGCCCCTTCACATGTGATTCTCATGTCTAGCCTCATTTATTTTATTCACCTGATCATCCCCATGACATTTGTACCTGGGTCTCAATAAAGATATGTACATCCTCTCTCCCCTGTATCTCCTCACAGTAGCATATAAAGAGACACTCAGCTCTAAGGGGAAGGACATAGAATATTGAAGACTTGACCCAGGACTTAATCAGAAACATAGCCAAGCTCCAAAGAAAATTTTATTCCCAGCACAGGCAGGTCAGCTATGCCAAAGTCAAGGTTCTGGTTGGAAAGAATGAGATTCTGACACATGAGATGGGGGACATCTGGGTTAATGCTCCTGTAATCTTAAATTCCCATATTTTTCTAAACACTCTTGAGACTGAATGAGAGGACCATTCTTTCCTATTAAGGGTTAGACTCAGTCCTTTCATGAAGATGATACAGTAGTTTCTCCAAGCAAAGACATGCTTGGCCTGCCAGGGAAGGAATGAGATGGTTTTCCCAAAGGAACTGCAGAACCAAGCCAGGAAAGAATGCATGGGATTATATTTTAACAGTTCTGAACCAAGGAGTTGGGGAAGCAGAACTCAAATTTAGATAAAAGGGAGCTTATTAATATGGAAGCTTTTTTTTTTTTTTTTTAACTCCTTAGCAAGGAGCTCAGGAGATGGTATAAACACACTCCTAAGACATCTCCCAGAACCATGGCAAAAGTGATGGATCACCTTAATATAGGTAGAAATGCCAGAATTGCCATGGGAGATGGTAGCAGAATGGGTTAGAAAGCTCAGAGAAGCGGGCATGTTAGCATGAATATAATACTTACGGTTGGATGACTATGTTTCATGGAAGTGCCCAGAGGAAACAATAGAGAATGTACTGAGAGGGGCACCAGCATCAGTAGGAAGGTAAGTGATGGTTCTCTGTAGGCCTGCACTGATAAGAGATACGGCTGCAGAAATAGCGACAATGGGGATGATAAACCCTGTAACAGTGGCTAAGTGGCTGTGCTTAACTGTCAGAAGCCCGCTGGGTACAATTATCATAAATAAAAGCAAAGCTACAATCAGAGGACACCTGACCTGCAGAGTTGTGGAGGTATTAATGGAACTCAGCACCCCTAGCAGCAAAACATATGGGCAGCCAACAAGGGCACTGCCTAATCTGTACAATTTAAAAAGAAAAAAAAAAAAATCAAGAATGGATGATTAGGAGGCTGAGAGCAGTCATTCCATGAAAATGTCATGATTCCTTGCTCAGTTTTCAGATTTGAGCCAGTTTTTTTTAAATCTCTTTTTAAAAAAATATTTTATTTATTTATTTGAGAGAGACAGAGATAGTGAGAGAGAGCACAAGTGGGAAGGAGGGGAAGAAGCAGACTCCCTGCTGAGCAGGGAGCCTGATGCGGGAATCAATCCAAAGACCCTGGGATCATGACCTGAGCCGAAATCAAGAGCTGGATACTTAACCGACTGAGCCAGTTTTCAGGTCTGGAACTCATTCAGTGAAGGAGAGGCTGGGTTCCCAGGAGGAAGGACCCTAAACACCATAGCAAGCATCCATAATGTTGGATCTACCAGTTATTCTCCAAAGGGATTAGAGCCATTTACTCCACTAGAGAAAGGGGATACTCAAGCATTTCAAGGACTCCTGGGTACAGGATCTGAGTAGACATCGATACCTAGAAACTAGAGGTAGTACCCTGTCCTCACTGATACAGTAGGAACACACGATGACCAGCTGATAATTGGAGGTTTGGCCCAGATCTGGCTCACAGTGTGTCCACTAGGTTTACAGATCCACCCAGAGACCATTTCCTTGGTTCCTCTGCATATTATGTGAATAGACATACTTGGTATTTGGCAAAGCCATCCATTAGTTCCTTGGCCTGAGGGATAAGAGTTATTATATTGAGAAAGGCTAAGTGAAAGCCTTTGAATCTGCCATCGCTCTCACTACTGGCCAAAATAGTAAATCACAAACAGTATCACAACATCACATCCTAGTGGGAATGGCAGAAATTAGCTCCGGTCTTAAAGAGCTAAAGGATGCAGGCATTGTGGTCCTCCTCATAATCTTTATTTAATTCACAGGTCTGGCTTCTGCAACAATACACAGATCCTGGAAGATGACAATGAATTATCTAAGACTCAAGCGAATAGTAAATCCAATTGCACCTACCTTTTGCTACAACGGAAGAACATGGTCTGGGATGTGGGGCACGTTATGTGCAGGATGGACAGGCAAATGTGTTCTTTTCTATCTCTGTCAAAAAAGAGAATCAGAAACGATCGATATTCACTTGGAATGGACATGCGTCTGTATTTATGGTTTTGCCTCATCCTCTCCCATCCTCGATCATAATTATGTAAAGAGACTTGGGTCATCTAGTCATCCCACAGAATATCACACTAGTCCACTATATGGATGTTATCCGGTCAGCCAGACTGGATGAGCATGTTGGAGGCCTTGGTAAGAGTATGAGGGTCCTGATGCTTGAGCCATACAATCACGCCCACTCGATGGTACTAGGATGTCAGTGACAGTAAACCATGAGCTTTGGGAAAGTCCCAGTGAGAAAATTGCAACACAGACACCCAGGATTCTGGGACAAGGCCATTGCCATTTGCAGCAGAGAATAACACATGTTTGGACAAATAGCTCATGGAGTGACACTGGACCTCTGGACAGAGGGAACACTTGACCATGGGACATTAAGTGACCATGGGTCTGGAATTGCCCATCACGAGCCGTGTCTGTTGCAGAATGAAATGCATTTGGTTTTTACTGCGGTGAAAACAACTACAGGTAGTCTGAGTAGGGCTATCTTCACTGATAATTATTCTTGGGTATGCAGCTGTTTATCCCATTTAAAAGAAAGCTTTCCTGATGTCGTAGAGGAGGGACACTTTTTTTTTTTTTATCTAAAAGTTGCTTTTCTATCTTTCTTCTAGAGCTGTATAAAACTCACTCTTACCCAAAATCCCCTGGGAAGTGCCTCCACTCCTTGTAGGCACTGCGCTCCCCCAAACCATGGGTGGTTTTCCCTTGAGCAAAGGACATCAAACTCATCACTAAATTGTCTCAGTTTCGTCATTTGGCAAATCAGATATTCAAGAAACAGTATAATTATGTGATTAATATTTATTTCCCTTTATAACTGTATGCAACCAGGGCCCCTGTTTTTGTTTTTAGCATTATATCTCTGCACCCAGCAAAAAACCTTGTATGCTAGGTAAATTTATAAGTAATTTATTTATGAGTATTTATGAGTAATTTATAAATAATGTTAATATACATTTATAAATAATTATATAAACATGTATAAATTTATAAATAATTGTTGTAATTGAGAAAATGTCTTAGGGGTAAAAGGATGATGGGGCTCAGGGCAGAATGTGCAACTCTGGCAGGTGGATAATTTTGAGCTGAAGATAATCAAGGCCCAACAGACTTAAGAGGAGTGTTTTTACCTCCTCAACTGCTTAAAAGGATTTAGGCCAAAAGCCTACACTAGGAAGAGAGCTGTTATCAAAGATAACTTTTTTTTTTACTGTAAGAAAGACTTCTCAGGGCATCACAAACATTCGTTTACCAAACATTTGCTCTGCCCATCTTCCTATGGATTGTCTTCTTCCCCTTTGAAGTCCCAGACCCTTCCTTCTCCTTAGCTCCCATGGCTTATAAACCTCAATTGCCTGACTGTTGGGGAACCTCTCCTGTCTTTGTGGTGCTCTCATACATAAATAATTAAATTTGTTTTTCTCCTGTTAATCTGAATTATGTCAATTTATTTATTAGACCAGGCAAAGAACCTAGAAGATAAGGAGAGAAACATTTTCCTTCCCTACAGTTTTGGCACCCAACATGGGGCTCTTCACTGGCTAAACAGTACTCACTCCAGGGTTGCTGCCGCTGAATGATCTTGGGACTTGGGACAAGCACTGGCAGAAGGTAAGAATTCTTACCACATCAGTGTCCTGGACTCTGCCTGCAGGGTCTATTGGAAGTTAAGAGTGGTGACAGTCATTTGCTTTTTGTAAGTTTAAATTAGCAGGAAAAAAAATATTTGTGTGAACTAGTTCCTTGAGCATAGCAATTTTGGTAAAGATTTGTTATTATGAATACTCCTGATTTTTATGCATTCCATTCCTCCAGAGATAATCATTGCTTTCTTTTGTTTTTGTCTTTTGTGTTTATCAGAAGGAGGAAAACTGTAGATCTGATGGGCTTTTCCTTTGATCTTGTCCTATGTCCTCAGAACTTGGCTGTGTGACCAATGAGAATGCTCTCTCTGGTTTCCACTCTCCAGAAGGTACAAATAATGCTGTACATCTGGCAGCCGATTGAATAGACCGGGATTCAGGAGACACAAAATCACAAGCAGAGTTCTCTCTGTCCAGCTGTGCCAGCTCTTAGGGGAGTTTATCAGAAGGTGTCCCAGTCCATAAGGGGCCTTTGTCATCTCAACCTCCATTGCTTTGTTAGTGCTGGAAGGTCCCATTCCAGGAGCACCTGCCCAGACACAGAGTAGTGGGTCTGTGACTGGAGGCATCCCACACTCCCGTGAGAGACACGTTTTTACTACACGTTTTTACTACACAGTTCTTAATACCTGTGACAGGAAGGCCCTTGCTTTCTTAGGCTAACTCTGGGAGTGAACTTTCTGGATCTTGTGAGGGCTACATCTTTTGCACTCTCTTGTGGGGTGCCTTTTGTGTCCTTGGGTAAGTCATAAAAAAGCTTATTGGTTTGAGTCATTATTGAGATAAATATGAAATCCTACTCATCAATGGCCAGATGATGAATCTTCTGAATTGGAAAGACTTCCATATTTGAAAACAAACAAACAAACACGTTTTTAGAGAGCTCTCATCCTAAACAATTGTATTATGGGTACCTATGGAAAGACCAAATTAAAAGATCAGTACAAAGAGATATGACCGCTAGCCTTAGGGATTCCCTTAAGATGAAAGAACAGAATTAGAGAACAAGAATCAAAGACTCCATCCAACATAAAATCCCCTTAAAATCTTGCCCTCTCTCCTCAGCAAATTCCCTGAGTTCCCCAAAGTCCTCTACCTTCTCTGGAAAATTCCTTCAACACCTAGATGCTTATCTTAGCTTCTGTTTTCCTACATGATTTTCAGAGAGCACTCTCACCTCATCCCTAAGCTGAGAATGTACAGGTTATTCATGTCAATACTAAGAGCCAGGAAATTAATTTAACAGAAGCATCTGGAATGGACAATACAGCTCAGACATAAAAAAAAAACCTTGTTTTGTTGGGCTCTGTAATCAGGATCTGACAGCTGCAGGCTTTCCTAAGCAATATATTCTTTGCAGGGATCTCCTAGACCCCACCCAAAGAATTCAGGTCCGTCGGACACCAGGGCATCATTTAAATTATAAAGTCCTTTTACCTCCACTTTCAGAAGATCCTACCAAATTTAAAGAAAAACATTTAAAAATTAATGCCCTAAACAGATGGCCAGAATTTCTCCCAGGCCCTTCTACAAATGACCAGAAAATAGCTCAACTGCAGGCTGGTATTCAAGGTTTGATAGGAACAATATTGGAGGCTTTCCCCGCTAAAGTGAATTGGTCTAAGGTTAAATTATACACTCAGAAAGAATATGATCATCCAAAGGCCTTTGTTGAAGGCTTTATACAGACTTTTTTAAAAGCATACTGCACTAAACTGTGAAGATCCAAAATAAAGAAATCTTTTAATTTTCATCTTCGTTGGAACTTTTCTCCCTAATATTAAAAAAAAAAAAATTTGGAATAGTGCGATCAAGTGAGCAAACCAACCTCTACATGTTTTGACAAAAAAGGCTACCAAATTCTTTGGAGATAACCTGTAAGAATGCAGACCAAAAAACGTTAAAAAGAACAATTTTTGATTTACTAACTTGAATTTTTGGAGAAATAAAAGCATAAGTCCAGGAGCAACTCCAAGCCCATTCAGAGCCTTTCCTATTTGCCTCCAGATAAGTACAGATATTGTATATTAAAAAAAAAAAAATCAGGACATTGAAATACAATTGTTCTGCATTTAAGAAAAAGAGGGAAAATTTAAGTAGTAATGACCCTAGATTTCTGGTAATACAGAAGTAGAGCCAGGGGCGCCTGGGTGGCTCAGTTGGTTAAGCAACTGCCTTCGGCTCAGGTCATGATCCTGGAGTCCCTGGATCGAGTCCCTGGATCGAGTCCCTGGATCGAGTCCCTGGATCGAGTCCCTGGATCGAGTCCCTGGATCGAGTCCCTGGATCGAGTCCCGCATCGGGCTCTCTGCTCGGCAGGGAGTCTGCTTCTCCCTCTGACCCTCCTCCCTCTCATGCTCTCTGTCTCTCATTCTCTCTGTCTCAAATAAATAAATAAAATCTTTAAAAAAAAAAAAAAGAAGAAGAAGAAGTAGAGCCAGAATTTCTAGGAAAAAACTCACATTCTTTCTCCATCTCTTGAAGATAGAAATCTTACTATGTCTTTGAAATGTAAACACCCTGGGAGGTAACTAAAACAATGGTCTGAAACTGTTAAAAAAAGGGGGTGGAAGTGGGGGAAGAGGAGACCTTTTTAAAATACAGACTGCTAAAAAGGCTCTCTTGCCCAAACTCCGGAGCACAGCATCCTTAAGATTACTTGTCAAGGACAAATACAAATCTTAATAGTCTTTTCCACAAATACTAGCAAAAAGCTTTTAAGTGGGTAACCTTAACTTGTTCTCTGCCAGAGACACAATTATTTATAAACTAGTGGGTTTTGTTTTATACCTGATTCATGGCTAAAGTTTTAAAATGAAAGCAACCAGATCTCTGTATCTGTCTGTATGTTATGTATGTCTATATACATACATACATATATAATATATATATATATATATATATATATATATATATATAGACACACACACACACACACACACACGAAAGATGTGGCATTTTTTTACCTCTAGATGGTGGTGCTAAAATTCATTTCTAAAAAAGCTCTACTTAAAATTGGCTTAAAAACAAGTGCTTTTGGACTAAGTATTTCTAAATCTCAGAAATATAATAAAAACTAACCCAAACATTTTTCAAGCTCATGTCTAGGATAATTTTTGGTAAATAAAAGCAAGCTTAAGTTTGCTGGTTTCATTAATACAGACATAGCTTTAGAGTTATTAGCATTAAGTGTAATACTTTTATTCTATCTTCATTTACTGAAAGTAAAATATGCTCATGTTATCTCTGTTATAAAGTTTGGCAGGAAGAAACATAACTTAAGATGATGGCTAACGGCTTTAATGTCTCATGAAATTTTCATGAGTAATCTAAGTATGATTGTTAAGAACAAGTAAATAAATGTAAGTGGGTAAGAATTTTCAGGTGAACTTTTCAGTAATAACTGCTATGGTATGTCTACTTAAAAATAGTTTCCCAAATCTCCTTGGTAACCTCCACCCTTAGAATTTTGCTAAGTTAAAATTAAATGGTGGGGAGTCGTTAAATGTCTAGGTTATTTCCAAGTAAGGTAAAATACTAGAACAATAATTAATTACTAAAGATAGTTGGGGGTCCATTAGTAAACATGTCTGTGTCATACTAGAAATTCTGCTATGAGAAACATGTTTCTAGATATTCTAAAAGTATTTATAAATTTGCCAACCCACAGAATGCTAATACAGAAGACAGTTTATAATTGTTTTTGTTTTTATTTTCACTAAAAATGAAGGTTTTTAAGAATTAAAAACTGTAATATAGGCAATTAATGCCACTAGAAATAATAAGGGAAACATCTCTGAATGTGAGACAAGCAAGATGGGTGTTTTTAATAAAATTAAGTATAAGAAATGGAAATGCATTTTTTGTTAAGGGAAAATAAGGTAATTTTGTCAATTGTATTAAAATGGGAAAGAAAAATTATAGGACAAAATTTGAATGTAAAAAGGTTGTAGAAGATTTATAGAAAAGGAATCTTGGCAAAGGAGTTTTAGTCAAGCTCACTAAGATTAAAATAAGTTTAATTAAGTTAAATGAATTTTGATATCAAAAATAAGCTGGTATAAAATTAGAATTTAAGTTTCTTTCTGTTAAAAGGAAAAAAAGTTTTCTTGAACTATTGGTCTGCTCTTGATAAAAGATTATAAAAGATTTTTCCTTACCTTTTAAAGTAATCTGCCTAAAAAGCAAAGATTGTGTATCTTGTCAAAATAATTTCGCCTTTATCAGGTCTTTGATTACTTAAGAAAGCTGAGGATTCTCTATTCAAAGAACTGAAGTTTTTTATTTTATTTTTTTTAAAGATTTTATTTATTTACTTATTTGAGAGAGAGATTGAGGGTGGGGAGGGAGGGGCAGAGGGAGAGAATCGTCAAGCAGACTCCTCGAGGAGCCCGGAGCTGGATGCAGGGCTTGATCTCATGACCCTGAGATCATGACCTGAGTGGAAATCAAGAGTCAGATGCTTAACTGACTGAGCCACCTAGGCACCCAAGAACTAAGGTTAAAACAACTATTTAGCTTTCCAGATTTGCCTGTGAAATCTTTAATTGACAATATGGTTAAATGGATAGCTAAGTATTCTTTCACAGTGACCTATGATCCTATTTGACCAAGTTTTTTAAAACCTCTCTGACATTTTTGACAAACTTCTTAAAAATCAAATTCTAAATAGAGTCTTTTTGATTTCGAACTAAGTTTGAGAATTTTTAGGGGGTCCCTGGAACATCTCAGAAGATTTGTTTTCTCTCCTTAAAAAAGGAAGATGTTAAACTAATTAGTCTTATTTGATATGTTAAATGATATGGGAAGCATTGTCAAATAAAACAGTAATACTGGGGCACCTGGCTGTGGCTCAGTTGGGAGTGACTCTTGATCTTGGGGTCCTGAGTTCGAGCCCCACATTAGATGTAGAGATTACTTAAAAAAAAGAGTAATACTGAGCGTTTTTCATGTTGTATTGTTAGTATGTGTTACCAGTGTTCTACAAATTGTATGAAATTTCTAGAAATCTAATATGTCCTGATATAACATTATCAGTCATAATTCCACTTATCTTAAAATGTTAGGTGTCACAAAAATAAATAGATTTCCTTGTCAACTGCATTGTGATAGACTTTCATCAGATCTTTAATCATGGCTATTTTTAAGTCTTTTGTCATTTACAGATGGTTATTTTTTCTCTGATGCTTTTGCAAAAATGTTCCTGCAAAAGTACTTCATCTTTAAGAAGACTTATGGAACATACTCTAGAATACAGATTTCTGATAACTTCAAGATCAGAAAACTGAACTGGTAAGAATTTCTAAAGCTAGTAGAATAACTAGATTCAATCAGAACAAATATCAGTTACATTGTGCTGAATGAACTGAGGAGTATGCTTGTAATTTTTTTTGTTTAAAACATGGCCAATTTAAAAAATATATATTTTGTTTTCCAAAATTGTGAAAACCTTTTTCTCTTCTTTTAAGCTACCTATGACTTAGAACAATTTGGAAATGTATACCTTTGTGAACAAAGATTGAACTTTTATCCTTCTCTTCCTACCTGATGCCCCTAGAATTCATAAATTCTCAGTGGGTGTTCTGATTTTCATGGCAATAGTTATATGCCTAAGTTCACTAAGAATCTGTTCTTCTGTAACAAGACACACTTGAAAACATTGGTTGCATTACCAAGGCTTTGACTGGAATGTCATATTTGAGAGAGATGTCTAAAGACTCAGATATGACCAGACAGCTTTAAGTAGCTAAGGTTGACTGGAGCCAATAATGCCCCTTGGTGAAAATGGCCTGGTACCTTGATTACAGGGATTCAGCAACTTTGCCGGGTGAGTGAGAAAGGTGACTTCCTGGCAGGCGCAGGAATTTCAGGATTGGGGACCTTGTAAAGATAGGAAGTAACCCAAATCTATAGGTATTGCTGGAAAGCCTGATAGCCCATCTTTAGCTTGGCTTCCTAGCTTTGAGAAGCTTTTTTTTTTTTTTAAAGATTTTATTTATTTATTTGACAGAGAGAGACACAGCGAGAGAGGGAACACAAGCAGGGGGAGTGGGAGAGGGAGAAGCAGGCTTCCCGCGGAGCAGGGAGCCCGATGCGGGGCTCGATGCGGGGCTCGATCCCAGGACCCTGGCATCATGACCTGAGCCGAAGGCAGACGCTTAATGACTGAGCCACCCAGGCGCCCCAACTTTGAGAAGCTTTTAAAAGTACAGTCTGAGATTCCTTATAAAAAGTTCCAGCAAAGCAGATTTAAAAATTCTATATGGTCAATCACTATTCTTGTTATATTTATATAAACAATCAAGCCAAATTTATTAAAACTAGACTTACTTTGCAAACAAATTAGTCTTTCTTTGGTTATCTTTAATGGCAATGGGGGTGATGGTAGAGAACAAAATGGTGTTTCAGTAGAAATTATAATATACACTTATGGAGATTAAATTCTAGTTCTGTCAGTTGTCATTGAAGTTTTGTTTTCTACCCGTAAATTGGACTAGATTCTGGGTTCTTTCAGTTTCCTCCAATGTTTGGCTACAACTTTTTAAACTAACATTTCTAGTTTTTCTTCTACCCTTCTGACTTAGAATCATTGAGAACTAAGGCTGCCCTTTTCCTGAAACCATGCAAGCTAACATTGGACAACTTGATATAAACTTCAGAGAAATCAGAATAAAAACTCATGTATGAACAGTCAGTCTTCGTGCCTCTGGCTGGGTGGACGACTCTAAGAGATCGCTAGAGGCCTCAGATTACAAACCAGGAAAATCTGTCCAATTGCCATTGTCTGCCCTCAGTCCCTCTCAAGAGGCTTCAAGCCTGAGATCTAGAAATCTTTTCAACTGGTGACCCCCAGAACTCTGTTGGTTTGTAATTTGCTCCAATTATTAACTGGTTTTTTTGTTTGTTTGTTTGTTTCCATAGAAATGCCTTATTAAATACCCGATTTCCCGCATCATGCAGGCCTAACTTTGGGATCCCAGCTGCATCATCACCTTCTAAAATGAGACACAACTGTTTAACTGAACTGACCTATTGTTCTAATTCAAAGAAGTAATGGAGCAATATTCCAAGATGAAGACAATCAAGGCCCAACACACTTAAGGAGAGATTTTTACTTCCCCCTTAACTGCGTCAAAGAATTTAGATAGAGAACCTGTACCAGGAAGAGAGTTATTACCAAAGATAACTTTTTTTTTTTTACAGAAGAAAGTCTTATCCACATGGCATGGCAAACATTTGCTTACCAAACATTTGATCTTCCCATCTTCCGATGGATTGTCTTCCTCACTTTTGAAGTCCCAGATCCCTACTTGCTTCCCATTAGCTCAGGGTGGCATATAAACCCCAATTGCCTGACTGTGGGGAGCCTCTCATGTCTTTGTGGGGCTCCTGGATGTATATAATTACATTTGTTTTTCTCCTATTAATCTTTCTTATGTCAATTTAATCATTAGATCAGCCAAAAAACCTAGAAGGGAAAAAGGAAAAAGTTTTTCTCCCCTATAAGAACCTCCACCCTGTGGTTTCCCACTGAGCTTACATCTCTGCCTCTTACCTACACATCTGTTCCAAGCCCACTCCCTACTGTTTCTGATCTGGGACTTTTACTTTATCAGTAGCTCAGGGAAGGACCAAAGAAAGGGTGGGAAGAGTAAGAGAAACTGAAGAGTGAGGAAAATTGTTAGTCCGTGGGAGCATGGGAAGAAAGCACCTGCTGAAATTGTCCAAAAGGTGAAGGATGTTAATGAGAGCACATGGGGTGCTATGCCCAGTAAGCGCCTTTAACGGCTTCTAGCTGAAGAAACAGATATTCAGAAGTCACGGATTGAAATGAGGACACTATTAGTTTTCTAGCGCTGCCATAACAAAATCCTATAGATTGAGTGGTTTAAACAACAGAGGTGTGTTATCTCACAGTCCTGGAAGCTAGAATTCCAAGATCAAGTTGCTGGTAGGATTGGTTTCTTCAAGGCCACTCTCCTTGGCTCACGGATGGCTACCATCTCCCAGGGTCTCTGTATCATTCTCCCTTTGTGCCGGTCTGTGTCCTAATCTCTTATAGTCATACTGGATTACAGCTCATCCATAGGACTTCATTTTACATTAATTACTTCTACAAAGGCCCTATCTCTATATACAGTCACATTCGGAGGTGCAGAGGATTAGGACTTTAAGAAATAAATTTTGGGGGAACCCAATTCAATCTATTACAGTTACCCAGCCAAATAAAGGCAGTATAGCCCAGGGATTAAACAGACTATATTTAGTTAGAAATACTGTGGTTAGGGGTGCCTGGGTGGTTCAGTCGGCTGGGCGGCCGACTCTTGATTTCGGCCCAGGTCATAATCTTGGGGTCCTGGGATCAAGCCCTGCATCAGGCTCTGCACTCAGTGGGGAGTCTGCTTGAGATTCCCCCTCTCCCTCTGCCCCTCCCCCCGACTTGTGAGCTCGCACACACGTTTTTTTTCTCTCTCAAATAGAGAGAATAGAATAGAATTCTGACTTTACACTTAAAATCTCTTGGAACCTTAGCTTCCTCCTCTGCTAAGTGGGAATAAAAACAATTGCGGCTCTAGCCCTATTACATGAGATGAGGTATGCAAGCGCAGAACGTGAGGACATAGGAAGTACGCAACGACTTTCAGCAGTAGCAGCTGGTGGTGTTTTTGTTGCTATCTTGTTATCATTACCGGTTTCCTTTTCTGTAGAATGGGGCTAATAAAATGCCCACAGACTTAGAGCTGCCAGGATCGAATAGGCTGCACGGCAATGAGTTTATACTCTGCCTACCACATAGTGAGCTCTCACAAAGTGTTAATTGTGGCCATAGTCTTCATAGGATAAGAACCTAGTTTCCCTACTCTTATCCTACCGAATAGGATCTGATGTAGCAAAAACCATGTCTGTATTTAATAAAACGCAATTTTCTTGTCGGGACAGTTTTAGCCAGAGAGACCCCCTGTTTTAGTCAGGAGCTCATATTTTAGTTATTAAAATCGGAAATGAAGCCACATCGGAGGATGCACAACTTATGAAATTATTTAGCTTAAAGGTGGTAGGATCTATATTTCCAGATTGCAGAGCCAAGAATGTTCAGGTTCAATGTGGGTGATTCACCATTTGATATCTGGTCAGGCTTCCACCAAGTCTTCCTCTTTTTTTTTTTTTAATATGTCTCACTGTGTCTCCTGTAATTAAGAAATGGTGCCGGGTTCTTGTCATCCTCCATTAAGGACTAGTCACAGATAGTTTCATAACATCTGCTTCTTGCAACCTTCTAATTATCCATAAAAATCTGGCAGAAGGACCTGACAATTTATCTGGAACACAGAATATGAATACAAAACAGGGTGCTTGGCTTCTAGATAGAGTGATGGGATAAAACAGGTCCTCTCTAAGCTGTTTGCATGCGGCGACGTCGCCTGTTCAAATCAGAGTTAGGTGCATGTCTTCTCAATAAAGACTCAATTTGGAAAAGCATCTTTTGACAAAATGAATGTGGGTCAGGAATATGTTAATGGTGCTGTGTCAGAGTCTGCTGTCAGCCACGACTCCGCTATTCCTTTTACAATCCAGCCAGACACTGTGATTTCCCCACTGGTACCTGCAGGCTCTGAGCTGTCTGCGCCCTGATAGGAAGAACTGAGGAACTCTTGACTGGGCCAAACACTTGCCTCTAGCAAGGTCAACTCCTTGCCTCTCGTTGCTTGTTCCTGGTAGCTGGTGCCTTTCTTGCCCACCAGCCTGCCTGGCTTTCTGACTCATCATCTCATCTTGACTCCAGGAAATGCATCTTCCTCCATCCCTGCTTTGTGTGCATGTGATGTGCTGAACCACTCCTTTATCAGGATTATTGGTCACCACGTGTCTACCTATACCTCTGACATCCATTGGGACCCATGGATTATTGGCTTATTCTGTCCTTCGGTTCTGAATCCACAGATACTTGTCTTGTCTGCCCATTTGGCTTGACACCCCTACTTTGTTGAGGCTTCTGGTCCTTTTGTGTCTTATAATCTCAGGGCTATGAACCCTGAGACTTGCCTCAACTCTCCTGGTCTTTCTGTCTTGCATCTTCGCTGTGTCCTAGTATCATGGAGATGCATAAAAATACTCATTTTTCTATGTATCGTTCACCAAGCACTTTTTGTATATGTAATGACCTCGAGAGGCAGAGGCTATGATTTGCTTGGTAACTTTTTGATTTTTTTTTTTTTTTTTTTTGTGAGAGAGAGCATGAGAGACAGAGAGCATGAGAGGGAGGAGGGTCAGAGGGAGAAGCAGACTCCCTGCCGAGCAGGGAGCCCGATGCAGGACTCGATCGCGGGACTCCAGGATCATGACCTGAGCCGAAGGCAGTCGCTTAATGAGCCACCCAGGTGCCCGCTTGGTAACTTTTTGTAACCTGAAGCACAAAGAGGCTTACTGTTCTTCGCAAGGCCTCAGACTGGATTTGAACGCAAATCTGTCCTGCTTTGGTTTGAGTTCTCCATGGTTCCCATTTTACAAAAAAAATGAATGGAGACATTGAGTTTTAGGACATTGACAGGTCATATGGTGAGTCAGCAAGGAAGCAGAAGGTTCCTAACATAGTGATAGAATAACTTGTTGAAGATGCCACTAGATTAAGAGGCAGAAGACAGGTCAGTTCAAGGTCTGGCTGAGAATCTTGATATTTGGTAAATTCCTTGACTTCTCTCTTCCTTCATTTTGATTGCTCACTAGGTTTAGCTACAAGTTTTCAGTTTTTTGGCAGCTAAAGTATACTCATCCTTACGTGTTCCAGATCAGTGGTCACTGGCCAAGATCTTGAGTTGTCTCATCTTATTGCTACATCACAGAGATTTCATTTCTAAATAATCCACCTCATATATTAGGCATTGGGAGGGGGTACTATTACTATTCTAAACTGCTGTGGGTTCATGAGTAGGAATCACCTGGGCCATTTTCATGTCCAGAAAAGACTCTAACTTCTTCATTGCATTTCAGAGCCTGGGCTGACATGACAAGCCTCTGGGTCTCTCCTGTCCCCGCTGAGTGGCTAAGACACCAATGACTTGAAAAACCAGAGGCGAAAGAGCAAAGCCAGGCTGAGACTTGGGTCCTTGCCTTCTGCTGAAACAAGAAGAGGAGCTGTGGGCAACTGGGCTTTGCATCTCGGCCGCTCTAATTCTTTGCTATTCCACGTGTGCTCCTGGCACGGCAGTGGCCTCACCGGGGGTCTTGTTAAAAATGCAGAATCTCGGGCCCCATCCCACATCTGCTGACTAATTTGTACGAGATTCCCGGGTGACTTGTACGCACATTAAAGAAGCACTGCTGGTTTATTAATCCATAGAAATGTTTACAAATTAACCTCCAAGTGGCCAGAAATGTTTCCTAGGGCCCTTTTGGAGGGGTACAGGCAAGTTGCCGCCGTTTACTGGCATGGGCTTCACTGAGAAAGGGAGTCTGGACCGAATTACAGCAGATGAAGGGACTTAGCTAAAAGCTAAGCTTTCGGGAGGGCAAAGGGGAGGGATGTGGGCTGTTGAGGTGAGGCCATTAATGAGTGGATTATAGCACAGTGTGCCATAATGGTCCAGTAATGAAATGTAATTGATACGGTTATATGGGATACAAAAGGATACTCGCTTTGTTCCAGCCTCTCTTTCTTCAGAGAAGGCAGATGCTCACAGGGTGAGGCAACCGGACAAAAGAGACTCATTCTAGAAACATTTAGGTTTCTCCCTTGGCCTGCTCTTTGTCCAGCTTCAGGTCAGACCTTCCTTGGTGCGGGCAACTACCAGGTGAGCGGTCTCCAGCCACAACCCTGAGGGGTCTGAGAGGCACACCGGTCCCCCCCCCCCCTCCACCTCTGAAACCCCTTGGGGAATGAACTCCAGCCCGGGACTGGGAGGGGTGGGGGGGATGGCCAGCCTGGTGTTAGAGCAGCTGCGATTTTGGAAATCTCTTTCATGGGACTTACAAGGCTTCAGTATGAAACCGCTCCTCAAACCACAAATGCTGACTTCAGGCTGCTGAGCTCAGAGTCATCGCCGCCTCCTCCCTGAGCAACGGTTGGCTCTTTCTCAATTTATTTCTCTTGATTGTTCCACTTTCTGGGGAGCTCAAAACTTTTTTTTTTTCTTTATTAGCTCTGCACCAGTTTCTTTTTCGTGAGTACTTTCCACCTGCCCCTGCGAAACTGGAGTCAAAATATTACAATGGCATTTATCCTGGAAAAATGGTTATTTATTTCTGATTTATGCCACACCTATTTAAAAAAAAAAATCCCACAATATGATACATGTGCTGAACGTGAAGCTAAAAGAAAGGTGGTAGGAGGAGAGAACGATTCTAGAGGCTGTTTGATCATAGTTGTGATGACGTTGCACAGTAATTTTAATGCTGAGTTGTTGGTGGCCGAAGATGTGCATAGAGCTACTTATTTCTGGTCGGTGGGCATTACACCTGCTTCTCAAAGATACCTTTTCTGAATACTGAGTTTGCAATAATAAATACTATTTTTGAGTACTTAAGATTCTCCCAGGTACTTGCTAAGCCCTTTGCATGCATTATTTGACCGAATCCTCACACCAACATGAAGAGAGAGGATAGAGTGACAGTCCCATGTGTGAACACAGCCAGGGAGCACAAGTTTGGATCTCATCTCTGATACTCACAAACCAATTGACCTTAGGCAAGTCCCTTAGATTCTCTCTGTTTCAGTTTTATTATCTATAAAAGTGGAATATCAATCATACCTTACACCGTGATCGGGAGCATTCCATGATTTAATATACACAAAACATGCCATGTCTGCCCTTAGTAAGTACTTGCCATTATTATCATTATTTCCACTCTACAGATAAGGAAATTGGGTCTCAGAGAGGTTAAGTGGCTGGCCCAAAGTCCCCTAGCCAGATCCAATTGGCACCAGATCTAATTTGACCCCTTAAACACTTCACACGCTGACTGGGAAACAGCCACCTGCTGTTGGCAAGGCACCCACGTGCAAATAAGGAATCACCACGAGCCTTGAGCAGTCGGTGTTTGATTGCCTTTGGTGAAAGATCATGATCTGTAGATTATCTTGGGGTGGGGGGGGCTTCTCCCAGTTGTTCAGCTTGGTCTGGGATGATATCTACTTTCTTTCTTTCTTTCCTTTTTTTTTTTTTAAAGATCTATTTAATTTATTTATTGGAGAGAGAGTGTGAGCTCCCCACTGAGCAAGGAGCCCAATGTGGGGCTCCATCCCAGGACTCTGAGATCATGACCTGAGCCAAAATCAAGAGTCAGACGCTTGACCGACTGAGCCACCCAGGCTCCCCGTTATCTACTGTCAATATGACTTTAAGTAAGGTTTAAATAATGAGGGACTTGTATTGCAAATCATAGTGTTTATATGTGTTTATAAATCATTTGTTTTATAGTGTTTATAGTGTTTGTAAGTCATTTGTTTATGGATTCTGTTTATATTGATTCCTAGCCTCCAATTCTTCCCAAATGCAGTTGAACATCACAGAAATGTAGGTCAGCATCTACCCAATTGCTACTATATTTAAGACCCACTTCGATACCACATGCCCTGGAGAGCTGCTTGCTTTATTATCTCCCACGATTTCAGAGGGGCCTCAAGCCTCCTCAGATCTAGGTAGTGATGCTTGACATGAAATATGGGTGTAATTCCCGTACTGCCCACCAGGTGTCCCACCCAGCCCTGCTATCTGACAAGCAGCAAGGAAAACCGGCCTTCTTCACCCCTCCAAAGAGGGAAAAGGGATTGAAGGTAGTTGAGGGGGTGTAGGGAGGAGGGAGGGAGACTGTGACAAGACTTCCAGATGCTTCTTCTTGCTTCCAGACAAAGGGAATTTTTCGCATTGTTTTTCTTT